AGCACCACAGATGAAAAAAAATGCATGTGTGACTTATCTCTCTGAGCTGGTTAAATTCACTAAATATGGTGCTTTCCAGTTGTACCCTTTTTTCTGAAAATGCCATAACTTTGTTTTTAAGGCCTGAAAAACAATTCAGTATATATATATATATACTGTTTCTGGACACATAGTTGGATTGCATAATTTAGCTATGGTGACTACCCAGCACTGGTTTAATGTTGGAAAGCCTCTTAGAACTCACCAGTCCAAAGTCCATTAATAATGAACAGCTGTCTCCAGCTGACATCACCCAAAAGCTAAAACATCTACAGATGTAACTCCAACCTAGATGTCAATCAGAAACCCTAAACCTGCATGTGTTCCCAAGTCCATGTCACTTCAAGTCTTCAACAACAAGCCCTCACACTTAATCTGTAAGAGAGCTATGTCTAAACCCCTGGACAGCCAGCTGACACAAATGCCCCTTGCCTTAAGACAGACACCACATCTGCTGGGTTTGGTCCAGTGACAGCCTTCTTGGGTTCTTCTCTCCCTTCCCACCCTCAGCTCTATGAGATGTTTTCTTCTGTGATGAAGTACCTGCCGGGGCCACAGCAGCAGGCCTTTAAGGAGCTGCAGGGGCTGGAAGACTTCATAACCAAGAAGGTGGAGCAGAACCAGTGCACCCTGGATCCCAATTCCCCCCGGAACTTCATCGACTCCTTCCTCATCCGCATGCTAGAGGTGAACCCAGGAGCTAGGGAGCACGGGGAGAGGTAAAGCCAGGCAGGTTGGACTTGGGCTTGGGGGGGGGCGGTGCAGTGGACCACACAGCCCCCTCCATCGCAATGCTCACAGACCATTCAGCCTCAGGGTTCCAGCTGCTCCGCCCTCATTCTCAGGAGGATAGACAACTGGGGATCTAGGCAGTAGATGGGGCTGCTGTGTGCCAGGGACTGTGTTTATAGCTCAGTGATATCCACTATGGCTGCCATTTCACAATGAGGCTGCAGCCCAGCTGTGGCCCCCTCCTTCATCACCTCCCAATCCTACTCTCCCTCCCCCTTCTCCTTCTGTGCCCCTCCCCCAGTCCACTGATAGGGGAGGTCCTCTTCCCTAGCCTATCAGGCCTCATCAGAACTAGCTACATTGCCTCCTCTGTGGTCTGGTAAGGCTGCCCCCCTTCAGGGGGCGGTAATTAAAGAGCAGGCCACTGAGTTCATGTCAGAGACAGTCCCTGTTCCCATTATTAGGTAACCCACTTAGAGACTGAGCTGCCATGGGCTACATCTGTGCAGGGATTCTAGGTTATCTTCATGCATGGTCTTTGGTTGGAGTATCAGTCTCAGAAAAGAACCCTGTGCCCAGATATTTTGGTCCTGTTTTCTCTTTGTGGAGCTCCCGTGACTTCCACGTCTTCCTATCTCCCCCTTCTTTCATAAGATTCCCTGCACTCTGTGCTGACCTGAAACTTGCTGTGTAGGCCAGGCCACTCTTAAACTTGTGCTTGTCTTCCTGAGTCTGCTTTCTGGAAGCTGAGACAAAACTTTACGTAGTCTAACATGCAAAGCATGGAGGAATGTGATTCCCCGAGGAAATATTAAGGTTTATAATTAAGAAATAGAATCCTGTTGTCTAAAATTCATAGTCTACAGGCTGGAGAGATGGCTCAGTAGTTAAGAGTTCAGTGCTGCTCTCCCCTGATAGGGAGAGTGTAGGGGTTCAAATGAAGCACCCACGCAGCAGCTCACAACCATGAAATTCTAGTCTCGGTAGATCCACCTCCCTCTTCTGGCCTCTGTAGCTACTGAACACACATAACACTCTAACATACTGCAGACAAAACACTTACACACATAAAAATAATTCTTAAAAGCTGTGACTGTCTCACAAAAATGGTCTCTAGTTTTCACTGACTTCCTCTAGCATGACGTCTCTGTCGTTGTTTCTAGAGTCTTTCTCCAGCCTTCCTTTCCTAAGTATTTCTACCTTTTAAAAAGTAGCAGCTAAGCTGGTCATTGAAGAAGAGCCAACTGAATCATGAATGGCAGAAGGGTGTTTAGCGCACTGCAACCCATCCAAAGGTCTGGAATGGACAGAACTTGACATAGCCAGGATTCACCTTCCTATCTTAGCTCTGGGCCAAGGAGAAGTGAACCCATGGTGGGGGCAGAGCTACAAGGGCACCAAGAGTGTAAGGAGTGGATCGGCCTTGAATACTTCCCCCCCCCCCCGCAGGAGAAAAAGAACCCCAATACAGAGTTCCACATGAAAAACTTGGTAATGACCACACTGAACATCTTCTTCGCGGGCACAGTGACAGTCAGCAACACCCTGTGCTATGGCCTTCTGTTGCTCATGAAACACCCGGGTTTTGCGGGTAAGGCTGCAAGGAACAAGAAATGGCCGGTGGGGTAGATTCTCAACTCTGATCTGCCACAGTGTTCCCTACTTCTCTCAAGAAACCAGACTCTTTGATAACTTGCTCTGCAGAGGCAGAGACATGGCTGGTGGGCACCAGTCTCTAGTTGTTGAACCAACTGTTGTGTTGCTAGCTGACCTTCAAAGATGCTACTTCCCTGTCCCCTCTGTTCCTTGCTTAAATCTACTTTCTTGCAACTTCCATGTAATTCTGGTATGACCCTGTTAACAGGAAGCTCCTCCAACAAAGTCCATGGCTTGTATGTAGTGAAAATGATTGACAATGTCACACACTGTTTCATGGCCTCCATCTGCTTTCACGTTTTTGAACTCTCACCCCTACTCTGAGGTTCTTGTACACCTTAAATGCATCCCTCTTCTTCTCAGCCAAGGTCCATGAGGAGATTGACCTAGTGATTGGC